TAATGACATTCCCAGAACAAATGACCATATCTTCCCTTCTAAAAGGGATAAATTAATAATCTTTTTTCTCAAAGCAAGGTTACACCTGTGAGTTGGATGTAGAAGTGTCAGAATCAATATAGATGTTTTTATTTTAAAGTAAATTCAGATTGAACACAGTACAACAATTTAAATGATTGTGTCCGTCCAAAAGAAAAAAATTACTTATAGTGAAAACCACTCTTGAATGATGGGATGGTAGACTAAAAGCTTTAGAAATCCAAACTACAACATATAATAAGTACCCTGTATCAAGATTGATGCAAAACAAGTGAAATTTGATCTTTTTAGAGAGATTTAGCAACAAAAAAACCTTCTGGGGTCATTTGGGTGCATTAGACCTATCTCTGGCCCCCCTTGCTTGATTTTGCTGATTGACATCTCTTTCTAACCGTCAGAGCCAATGGAATCGAGGGGAACTCCCACATACTCATTATTTGGTCATGTGTGTGTGTGAGACTGACGCATAGCCAAAACCGGAAGCTGCGATAACTCTGGTAGCTACCATTAGCAGCTAACTTTTACTCTCCGATTTTTACATACAAATTGAATTATGGATTATAAATTTAAAAAAATTATTCCACAGAAACATTATCAACCTATGGATTAACCGATTCAGCCAAGTTTTTTCTCGTTTTAATGCCATTTAACAAGTCTTTTGATCAGATTGACAGCTACGGTGAGAGGATCTCCCGTAAAAGCTACGTAAAGGTACATGTTGTGATGTCTGTGTTTGCTTCCCCTGTTGCGAGTTCAAATCACTCAGTGATGATATATATACCTAAATAATCTGTGGAACCTCAGCTTTAATCGGATATATTGTATGTGCAGCTACGATAAGTAATAAGGGTATCTTTTAACTTGAGTTCTGTGCGTTAGCATTTTTCGCTCAGCGGTCATTTAGATGCTTCTTATGAGACTTGTGTTTTGTTTTGGTAAAAATGGTTTATATCGTCAGTTAGCTGAGATTATTCCCGTTATTCTGGTATAACACATTAATAGGTTCTTAAATATTAAGATCCCCTGAGACACAGTGTCGTGAAAAAAAAGGACCCGCCGAGGGGGTCCTTGGGGCTTAACAGGACATAGCACCATCACTGCGACAATGAAAGTGGTGAATGATATTGCTAATATCTTAGACAAAAAGCAGAGTTGTGCAGCTCTATTTGTTGACTTGTCCAAAGCGTTTGATACCATCGATCATCGCATCTTAAAACAGAGGCTACTCAGTATTGGCATATCCAGCCATGCTGGTGGTTTGTGAACTACCTCTCTGAAAGGTCCCAATGTGTTCACTTTGATGGGCTGTCTTCTGAGTGGTTAAACATTATTAATGGTGTACCACAAGGTTCTGTTTTAGGTCCGCTATTATTCTCCATCTATATCAATAGTTTAGGTGAAAATGTCGATGGAGCAACCTTAAATTTTTATGCGGACGATACCGTGATGTACTATGCAGGTCCCTCCATTAAGGAGGCTGTTGTTGAATTGCAAGCTGTTTTTAACATTATTCAGACTCAGCTCGCTGAGCTTAAGCTTCTTTTAAATGTTGATAAAACCAAGGTAATGCTCTTTTCAAAAGCTAAAAAGACACCAGAGCCTGTTTTAGATATTGTAACTACGCAAGGAATAAAACTTGAAGTGGTTACCTGTTACAAATACCTTGGTATCTGGCTTGATGATTGTCTCACTTTTAAACTTCATGTCAATAACCTGCTTAAAAAACTGAGGGTTAGGCTAGGTTTCTTTGACAGGAACAAGTCCTGTTTCTCACTTGAGGCCAGGAAAAGGCTAGTCTCTGTGACCTTTTTACCTGTGCTGGACTATGGTGATTTGATCTATATGAATGCACCTGCCCATTACCTGATCAAGTTCGATGCCGCCTATCACAGTGCACTGAGATTTGTGACAGACTGTAAAGTATTAACCCATCACTGTACCCTGTATGCAAGGGCAGGTTTGCTTTCACTAACTGTACGGAGGCTCAGTCACTGGTACATTTTTATATACAAAGCTTCCATCCTACATCTGCTCCCTGATCTCATGGCAAATTGTAAGTGGCTACTGCCTGAGATCGAATGCTGTGGTTTTATTAAATGTGCCAACTGCTAGGACTGTCTTAGGGAAGATAGCTTTTAGATGCGCAGCTCCTCTGTCTTGGAACAGTCTGCAAAAGGAATGGAAGCTGAGCAATTTGGTTCTACTAAATGTTTTTAAAGCAAGGATAGAGGGCAGGAGCTCCAACAAGCCGTTTAGGACAGCAAAACATTTGCTTTTACACATGCATAAAATTACCCTGGCGCGCAGATTAAACCCCCTGCTCGCTCGCGGGAGTTTCAGCCTCACTCGCTCGCAGAGTCTGTCTGCACGCGCGTGAAAAGTTTCTGACACTTTGGGGCGGAGCCACTGAACTTTGATTGACAGCTGCTAGTAGCTACAATAGGTAGGAAACACCTTCATGTTTCCTACCTATTGTAGGTGCTTACAACAGAGAGTAGCTAGCAACTTTTGTCAGATACAGCCCTCTCAAAAATATATTTTTTATTAATTGATATTAGCTGTACACTTTACGAATATAATAGTTTTCAACTTCACCAATAAATCTCGTCCAACTAATCTTGCTGCTGTCACTCCTCGGCTATAGTTCAGGCAATGATCAAACCTGGCAACTGGGGGCTTCCTGGCAGCTCAAAGTCCAGTGGCTCCGCCCCAAAGTGTCAGAAACTTTTCACGCGCACGCATACAGACTCCGCGAGCGAGTGAGGCTGAAACTCCCGTGAGCGAGCAGAGAGCGGGGGTTTAATCTGCACGCCAGGGTAATTTTATGCGCGTGTAAAAGCATATTTTTCGCTCATCAGTAGCTTGTTTTGCGCGCTAGAATATTGACCCAATTCTAGCTCCATATGAGGCATGGCTAGAATGGGTGATCTGTTTGGTATTTTGAGCAAAACACTTCATAGACATGTTTTTGATATATTTGTATATAGGCCTATCTATGCTATTGCCTAAAAATAGCGTGATAGGTGCACTTTAAATTCTGCTGTGATAAAACGCCATCCTGTTCCAAACCACATCAAGGATTATTTCTGAAGCAGTATGGAGCTGAAATTATTTTTCTCCTGCGGGTTTACCACAAGGTGAGTTCCTTTTTTTTTTTCCTGCTTTTTAAACACATTCGCTCTCCAGTACAGGTTAGCTCTGAGTGTTAGTGATGCTTGCTAATGTAACAAAATGTCATATTACGTCATAAGACGTCAGGCATTGTTTCTGATAGCAACTCTCTGTGGGTCCACCATCAGAAATTACGTAATATCGGCAGCAAATCTGATCCGCTCGTTGTACCCCCGTACCTAGATGTCGGTACGGAGGAAAAGAGAAAGGGTTTTATTTTCTGACGCTGCGTGAGTTACCTGACACACCGGGGACACATATTTATGTAGGCCCGAGGAAAAAAAGTGTCTTCCAATTTCCTTTTTTTGTGTGAGTTCCTACCTATTTAGGGTTAATAAAAAATCTTGCAATTTAGACTTTTTTAATATAATAATAACTTTTTGTATGTCCACTGTAGAGGACGTTGGGACCATTTTTGTTTCAAAAGACAGACAAAATTAACAGATAGACTATGTAACTCATATGGTTATAGAGTGATATTAATACAATAATACATTCACCTTTATTTAAAAAATAAATAAGTAATTGATCTGAACATTGCTGTTTATTTGGTCACTAAAGAACTAGTTTGGTTTTTGTTGAATCTTTCCAGATCTTCAAAGACTTTGTAGTCAATGTACCTCATTGACTCCAGTCGGTACGGGCTGTAGGGTCATTTTTGACTAGTTTTATGGATGTGGTCTCCACTTGACCTTGCTCATAGAAACTTGCATTCCTGAGGCAATTCTCATTTTTCATGGCTCCACTTAAAATTAAAACAACAATAAGACATACATGCTACTCTTGGCCCACAGAGGGCCATGTCTTTCCAGCTCGTTCCTATCTGTCTCTCTGTCTGTATATGTGCGCTCATGGAGAGTCCTGCATCTTCCCCCCCCCCTTCTTCTTGACCCTCTTCTATCCCAGGTGTGAACGCCTCATCTCTCTCATCATCTGAGAGCTCAACATCTTAATCTCCCTGAACTATCTGGTACAGAAAAGGTCTGCTTCAGTTCCGTCTCCTGCAACAATATTGAGTCATTAAGTCCATGAAGATGGTCCTGACGTCCCCTAGAATGGACATTTATAAAAGGGCTGTTATTTGAAAACTTGAATTATTGAATTACTTTCAGAACTAATTATATAGTTCCTCACATGTTAATAAACAAGAACATATTTGATTTTCATGTTAAAAAGAACAATTATTCAACAATATTTGACTTCTCCTCCTGCTTCTATAACAGTTTGTTTTTGGTAAGCCAGCCATTTTGGATGAAAAGAAAGAGGAACTTCCCAGCATGCAATTTTAACCAATGACATATCACTGGAAAGCCCAGGATGTCCTCTGTACAGTGAAGTAGAGATTGATAGAGTAGCTCAAAAGATAAAAGGAGATGCATGTTAACAAAATGTCCACTACAAGGGACATTTTCAATGGGCTGGGTCCCAGGAGGATAAAAGACATTTTTAACAATCGTAAATACTTAACAGGTTTGTTTTTGACAAAGGAGTTTTCTTTTCTCTAACACTTGGCCAATGCTCTGATTGAAATGTCCTGAGTCTTACATCGTGTCTGAGGATCAAGGGTTAGTCTGTGTGTGACTTTTATGTGAATGTTTTCGTTTTTGAGGTTCAGCTTTATGTGTCATGTTAGCCGATCCATCTGTCTTTGTTATTTAGTATTGTCTCATCTTTTTCACAAACCTTTTTTCCCATTTTGTTGCATTCTTCTCTGAAGCACTTTTAGTGGTTTACCACATATACAAAGGGCATTTAATGTGAGACATATGGAGTGGAATAAAGACAGGAGCTCACATTTGAACCATTTATTCTCTGATCAAAGAGGGAGCCATGTAGTTTAACTGGAATTTTAATTCAGAGCGGGTAAAGCTTCAAGTGACATATTTTTAGAAGACTCAAATACCCCAAAAATATTAAGCTTTAGAAATGTGTCATTCAGACGGTAAACATCAGCTTTATTAAACTCCTTTATCTTTTGCTTCACTGCTGTGCTATTCAGCAATTTGCATGGACAGGTACTTACAATTAAAATATATATTTACATACTTCAGCACATTTACATCAAAAAGCTTCCTGAATCCAGTCCGGAAACTATTGGCTGGCAGATATTTGTAATCCCTCTAATAAAAGCAGAAACACTTATCTCACAAAAACAGACACAACAAATCAATCACTCCTGCAGCAGGATGGTTGCTTTGTCATTTCACTCAAACTTTTTTTTAAAACTCCTCCAATGGAACAAAGAGATGTGTTCAACTTAATAAACTTTATCAGTTATTATAAAAACCCCTTTGACTCTACTGTAATAATGACTGCGGATGATTGCAAGCTGTAGTGATAATTGTTTTCCTTGATAATGACGTAGCTTATAGTCAGAAAATATGAATCTGATAAACATCTATTCATGACTTAACTGTTAATGTGAGCAGCCAGATATCTTTTTCATAACCCAATATTACCAGCATAAGAAATAGAAAAACATAAACTCTACCCAAAATATGTCTTCTGTCTGTGCTTTAACCAGTCGTAAACTCACTGTCAACTGAGAATTCTTTGCAAATATTCAAAGAATTAATGTAATTTTAAACATATTTGCATAAACAGTAATTATCATAAGGGTCAAGGTGACATTAGCCTGACCAAAAAAAAAAAGCCCAACAAATCCAACAATGTGGGAGCTGTAGCTTACAGCTAACTGGTAACGGCTAACTGGTAACAGATTACAGTTTACAGGTAACAGCTAACTGGTAACTTTAAATGGCTAACAGCTAACCCATAAGGGCAAACAGCTAACTCTTACATTGTGTCTTGGTGCGCCTGCTAGCTTTGCTGTCAATACATGTACACTGAATATCGTAGCTTTTTAGCAAATATTTAAATACCTCTGAAGGTCATATTTGACTGTTAACCGGATGACTCGTGATTTAAGTAGACTTTGATAGATTGGTCCATGTACCCTGAGGTTGTCATTGCGTTACATTGAGTGTCTGCTGAGCTCTTTGATTGGCTGAACCATTACCATTTGTTAGGCTTCTGTCACTCAAAACCTATTTTGCTGCAGTATGATCTTTATTTGATTAAAATGTCATCTTTAAAATCAGCTTATCAACCAGCATGGTGTGTTTCAGTTGTTGGCTCAGCCGGTCACAGGTCTCTGTTGACGTGTAGCTTCTTGTCTCCGATGTGCTGGAGGAGGATCTTCCCTCTCTGCTCCACAGTGTGGATGAGAGTCCTGAGGCCGCTGGCACCACCCTGGCTGTCCCAGAACTCCCTGTCTGTGTACAGGGAGCGCAGCAGAAGACTCTCCAGACAGCCTGACTGAAACACCGACACTGCATTCTCTGGAAACCTGACAACAAACACAGCATTATGTTTGATGAGTTATAAATTCGATACAGCTGCACATGTCAAATCCTCGAGTCTAGAGGCTGTAAAATGGTATTGGAGCACATTTTTAGAAATTCCAGATACATCTTAAAACTAGCATTGGTTTGCTCACACACATTTCGGTGAATTTCATTGCCTCTCCAGGAACCTGGATGACTGCCGCTTCAACTGTGTTTTAAGGAAGACCATGTGTCCAGTATAATATAATTAAAGTAAATTAATATTCACTGAATCATGGGCGTCACAAGTGGGCTGAACGAATACCAAAGCGCTATGAACCCAATTTGAACAGATTTTTCTGTGATTTAAATGTAATAAACAGATTGAGAGGATAACAAAATAACTACATCATGATGGGGATATGCGAAATATAGCGTATTGAGCCTGCATGATTGAATGAAGCAATACATGTCTCCCCCCCCCCCCTATTTTAAACATGATAGCCTATCATTTGTACTCACTCATCAATGCCCTCGACCAGCCTGAAGTTCAGGTTGTTGGCGGACTGCTGCGGTCTGCCTGCGTTGTCTATGAACACCAGTCTGGAGGGATCAGCCCTCCTCACCTGAAAACACACACACACACACACACACACACACACACACACACACACACACACACACACACACACACACACACACACACACACACACACACACACACACACACACACACACACACACACACACACACACACACACCACACACACACACACACACACACACACACACACACACACACACCTCAAAAATGTGGAATAGGCTGTGTTTTTGCAATTTTTGTAATAACTATTAATCTTTTATGTACTTGTTCTATCTTTATTACATTATGGGAGTTTAGTCATTTAATCGTTGCATCCCTAGTTTAGATAAATGAGGCCATTCATGCCTTTTCTAAGGAAGAAATGTTTACATATAATTTAACACTGAATAACATACAATACAAATATGAATGTTGGCTAAATTCCATTTAGCGGCTTCAGTGTCAGGGTCAGAGCAAGGTCGGTACTGTTCTGTAGGCTGATACTTTAAGTGTGAATCTATATGCCTACTCCCTGAATCTGCTTTATGGTTTTCACTTTCTTTGCTTCATTTGTTCTGTTTTCATTTGTTCTTCTTGCTTATCTTTCTTACAGTGCAGACGCTTTTCTGCTTGCTCTTGCCTCTGCTTACTTTTTATGCTGATTTTCCTATTCTTATTCTCTGAAAACTTCGAGCAGCGGCTCCTGGACATTAACTTATCACTGGGACAGTTCATCTTCGTAAATAGACGGAGGGTTTCAGCCATATTTCAACATTTTTACGACGACGTCAGTCTTACAATAGCGTGGCCTAGCAACAGCTAAAGCCTGGTAGGCTACTGCTATTTAGCTTAAGCTAGTTGGTAGCAAAATGCCTCCGTTCTCTACAGATGACTTCCAGAAACTTATACAGAAGATGGCTGTGTTGGAAATGAAAATGCAACGGTTGGAAGTTAACGTGGAAGTGAATGGACTATGTCGTGGGAATGACACGACTTTACCAGTGTTGCAAAGTAATGGAGAAGGGTATGCTAACTCACAGCTAGTTAGCAGCTACAAGGATTCCAAGGAACAGGAGGGCTGTGTACCGGGTAATAAATCTACAAGTGGTAGTCCTCCCTGGAACTCTCTGGGTGCAAAGCCTAAGAGTAAATCACTTCCATGGGATTTGGGAGGACGGATAACAGGCAGAGCCCAGAGCTCCGAAATCTGTGATGCGACCGGCTGGCCTGCATTGTTATCACCCAGGAAGAGCGCCTCTTCAACCCCTATTCATACTAGGAAACAGCAGTGGACAGCTGCTAAAGGGAGAATTACAAACAATCCTCCTAAACCACCAAGTGTGCCAATCCAGAACAGATACGCTCCGCTGACCGAGAACCGGAGATCTGATGACCTGGATAACCTGTCCTCTTCACGCAGCAGGGTAAGGACCAATAGCTACTCTAAAAGTAAAAGGCTAGAGGGAAAGCTAACGACTGGGCCTGAAACTCTGATTGTGGGTGACTCTGCTGTAAGAGATGTAAAAGGTCTGTGTAATAAGAACAACACCAAAGTACTCTGTTTTCCCAAGGATGTGGTCTCTGACTTGGCTGAGAAGATCCTGCATATTGGGGCTGAACATCCGATTGTGAAGAATGTGGTACTGCACATTGGAACAAATGATGTTGTGAAACAACAGTCAGAAGTGCTGAAAGAAGACTTTAAATGTTTGTTGGAAACTGCCAGCTCTCTAAATGCAGAGGTGTTCATCAGTGGCCCTCTACCGCCAGTCAGAAGAGGAGTGGAGAGATTCAGAAGATTGTTTGCACTGAACACCTGGCTTTCAACGGCCTGTACTGACCATTCTGTTCATTTTATTGACAATTTTAACTTTTTCTGGGATCGCAGACATCTTTTCAAGGCAAATGGAGTTTGCCTGAACAAGTCAGGAGTGAAATTGTTTATCTCTAACATATTCAACTGCCTGCGTCATCAATCTGTTCCCTCTGCCAAGGACAAGCGGCAAGAGGAATCAAAACACGAGAAAGACACAACACATCACGCAGAAAACCCTGAAGAATTATCACTGCACCCGCCTGAGGAATGTTCTGATTATGGGAGACATATGAGACACATGGAGGAGTCTCCACTGCCCCCCCCCCCCTGTCAACGCCTTTGAGGATACTCCGTTCACCCTTTCACCCTCGCCCACCCTCCTGGAGATCGATGAACACACAAAGGAGATACAGAGGGTTGGCACCGATTCCTTCCTGGAGTTCAAAGACCAAACGAAGGCGATACGCAGGGCTGGCACCATGTCCTTTACCCCCGCTCCTCAACGACGCCCACCAAAATCACCGCGGAGACGCGCACCATCTCCCCCGTCCTCATCACCGCGCCTACGTCAACCACCTCCCCCCCTGGCAGCATGTCCTCTACCCCCGCACCATCTAGCCCGTCTCCATCACCGTGCCTACGTCGACCACCTCCCCTCCCTTCGAGGGGGCATCTGCAGTCTCCGAAGCCTGATAAGGATGTGTGTGTACAAAACACAACAAACTCTTACTGATATGTGATGGGTCCAGGCTCAAGGGCGTATGGCACTCTCAACTCTTTCCAGGACATGTCGGGGCCCTGCCTGCCAGTAGCTTTGCCGATATCTGTGTTGATAGGTAATAGATTAAGAGCGGTGAATCATAGAAACAGGAGCGCTCAAACGTTTGTGTGAGTGTATCTAATTTAGCAGTGATTCCATGTCAGCCACAGCTTGTTACAAAAAACATGACTGATAGTGTGTTTAACAAACTTAAACTAGCTTTATTAAATGTCAGGTCTTTGGCAGGAAAAACATTTTTAATCAATGATTTAATCACTGAGCACAATCTCGATTTTATGTTTTTAACAGAAACTTGGATTGAACAAAATAACAGTGCAGCTGTTCTTATCGAATCAACCCCTCCCAACTTTAGTTTTATGAGTCAGGAAAGAATGCATAAGAAAGGGGGTGGAGTTGCTATTCTGTTCAATGATTCCCTTCAATGCAGGAAGACATCGTATGGAAACTTTGATTCTTTTGAATATGTGGCCCTTCGGCTGAAATGCTCCTCTCGAGCTCTGTTCCTAAATATCTATAGACCACCCAAATACTGTGCAAGCTTTTTTGATGACTTTACTGAACTGCTGTCTATAGTGTGTATTGACTTTGACCGTCTAGTCATTGTTGGTGATTTTAACATCCATGTTGACAACCCCCAGGACAGAGGGGCTAAAGAACTGTTTTGTGTTCTTGATAGCTATGGACTGACTCAGCATGTGACGGAGCCCACGCACAATAAGGGGCACACTCTGGACTTAATTATCTCAAAGGGTGTGAATATCTCTAAGGTTGTGGTGACTGATGTTGCACTCTCTGACCATTCCTGTGTTTTCTTTGAGAGCTCTATTTCTGTTCACAAAAATGTTCAAAAAGAGGTAACCACAAAGCGATATTTAACTGAAAATACTAGGGAAATGTTTACTCAGAATTTCTCTTCCACACTTGCCCCTGCCAACATCTCAGTAAATGAGCTAGTAGATCATTTTAATTCAAAAAATTAAAAATGTTATAGATGCCATTGCTCCAACTAAGGTAAAGGAAGTGTCTGGCAAGAAAATATCTCCATGGAGAAAGGCCATGAGCGTGAAAACAGAAAAAAAGAGAATGTCGAAAAGCTGAACGCAGGTGGCGAAAAACAAATCTCCAGGTTCACTTTGAAATCTATAAAGAGAGACTTGGCCTTTATAATTTGGAATTGAAAAAACGCACGACAATCGTTCTTCTCTGACATCATTACCAAAAACAAAAACAACGCACGTGCCTTGTTTGCTACCGTCGACAGACTAACTAACCCCCCAGTGTCAGTAGCCTCTGAATTTCTATCCACCAGGGCGTGCAATGATTTTGCCTCCTTTTTCACTGACAAAATTCAGAAAATCAGACAAGCAGTCAGTGCCTCTGCATCAGGAACAGCAAATGTGTTGTCCCTATCTCCACTTAACATCAATTCAGACATCATGACACAATTCCATCAGATTAATGATAAAAACCTAGAGGACATTATTCAAACTTCTGAAATCCTCCTCCTGCTGCCTTGATATTATTCCAACAGGATTTTTCAAAGATGTTTTGCCTTGCATGGCCTCAGATCTACTTCATATAGTAAACAAATCTCTTCACTCAGGTATTTTTCCACAGGCCCTGAAAACTGCAGTCATTAAACCGCTCTTAAAAAAGAATAATCTAGATGCTTCAGTAATGAACAATTACAGGCCCATATCAAACCTGCCATTTCTAGGTAAATCATTGAAAAAGTTGTTTTTCAACAGTTGAGTAATTTCTTGCATTTAAATAACTGTTTTGATGTGTTCCAGTCAGGCTTTCGTCCAAACCACAGCACTGAGACTGCTCTTGTAAAGGTCTTTAATGACATCCACTTAAACACAGACAGTGGCAGAACTTCAGTGTTAGTATTATTAGATCTCAGTGCTGCGTTTGACACTGTTGACCACAGCATATTACTAGACCGACTGGAGAACTGGGTGGGACTTTCGGAAACAGTTCTAAATTGGTTTGAATCCTACTTAAAGGACAGAAACAACTTTGTTTCTATAGGTAAATACACATCTGAGTTGACAAATATGACATGTGGGGTTCCTCAAGGCTCCATCTTGGGGCCTCTTCTCTTTAACATCTACATGCTACCACTGGCTCAGATAATGAAGAACAACAAAATAAGTTACCATAGCTATGCAGATGACACACAAATTTACGTAACAATTTCACCAGGAGACTATGCTCCAATTCAAACACTGAGTAAGTGCATTGAACAAGTCAATGACTGGATGTGTCAGAACTTTCTCCAATTAAACAAAGATAAAACTGAGGTAATGGTTTTTGGAGCCAAGGCAGAACGTATACAAGTTAGCGCTGAGCTTCAGTGTGCAATGTTCAAAACAACAGATAAAGCCAGAAATCTAGGTGTAGTCATGGACTCTGACCTGAGTTTCAACAGTCACATTAAAACTGTTACTAAATCAGCCTACTATCACCTAAAGAACATATCTAGGATTAAAAGACTAATGTCACAGCAGGATTTGGAAAAAACTTGTCCATGCTTTTATCTTCAGTAGACTCGACTACTGCAATGGTGTCTTCACAGGTCTCACTAAAAAATCTATTAGGAAGCTGCAGCTAATTCAGAACGCTGCTGCTCGAGTCCTCACTAACACTAAGAAAGTGGATCACATCACTCCAGTTCTGAAGTCTTTACACTGGCTTCCTGTGTGTCAAAGAATAGATTTCAAAATACTGCTGCTGGTTTATAAAGCACTGAATGGTTTAGGGCCCAAAATACATTTCTGACCTCCTGCTAAATTATGAACCATCCAGATCTCTCAGGTCTTCAGGGACTGGTCAGCTTTCTGTCCCCAGAGTCAGAACTAAACATGGTAAAGCAGCGTTCAGTTATTATGCTCCAAATATCTGGAACAAACTCCCAGAAACCTGCAGGTCCGCTACAACTCTGACTACTTTTAAATCCAGGCTGAAGACTTTTCTTTTTGTCGCTGCTTTTAATTGAACTATTCATATCTTAGACTGCACTGTAACTTTTATCCATGTACTTTTTTCTTTTAATGTTTAATTGACAGCACTGTAACTTTTATCCATGTATTTTTTCTTTTAATGTTTATTTTATTAGCTTTTCTTTTTAATGACTGATTTTAAATGCCATTTTCTTAATCTCTTTCATTTTTTGTAAAGCACTTTGAATTGCCTTGTGTTGAAAAGTGCTATATAAATAAACTTGCCTTGCCTTGCCTTGCCTTGCCTTGCCTTGCCTTGCCTTGCCTTGCCTTGCCCTTGCCTTGCCTTGCCTTGCCTTGCCTTGCCTTGCCTTGCCTTGCCTTGCCTTGCCTTGCCTTGCCTTGCCTTGCCTTGCCTTGCCTTGCCTTGCCTTGCCTTGCCTTGCCTTGCCTTGCCTTGCCTTGCCTTGCCTTGCCTTGCCTTGCCTTGTTTTTAATTCAGTAGGTGAACCTATATGTTCATAAAATAGTGTGTATGAGCTTAAAGGTAGGGTAGGCAATTCACTTCAGAAACACTTTTTGTTATATTCCATGGAATGCTCTTAGCATCCCGATAGCAATGAATATATTAAATGCTTTGACAATAAATATATACAAATATTTCATCTGTGGAAGCCATGGCGCTGTAAAAAGCCGGCCCGGGGCAGATAACTGGATGGCCTACCTGCCTGTCAGCCTTCCATCTGTGCATAAACTTCTCTCGTGCCCTCATTGGTCATGTGCGCGTTCGTGTGTGTTGGAGGAGGGGCAGATCTGTAAGGAAGGGGCAGATTTTTTTCGGCTGCGTACTTTCAAATTCTAGCGCACTCGAGCTGGGCTGCAGTCGAATAGTCCATTTAGCTTAGGAACCTTCCTAACCGAGTGAAATGACCCGGAAGTCCCTCAGTGGCAGCCATGATAAATGCCGTTCAGATTCTCTAGATGATAGGAAAGGAGGTTTCACACTTCCTTTATAACCTCCTTTAGCTTAGGAACCACTGGACCTCCCTCACCGAAAGGAGAGGAGAAAATAAATACATTTGTATTGATTTTAAGATCTTTTAATAGTTCATACAATCATACGTATTGGGATCATTTGTATTAATGTGGACCGGAGGGAGAGGGTGACAACGAGCATACATTTTACTTTCCTTTTTTATTTCAATTCCAACTTTGATCATGAAGAATATGTTTCTCTGTTGTCCACGTTCATAAAGCATAAAACAACAGCTTCAGAGCACGGTGCAGAGTCTCTAGATGAGTTTACAGAAGTCCCTCGTTCTTATTAAACTTCCATGTTGTAGTCCGCTGTATAGAAAACTGTAGTTTCCATAGTTACCCCACAGCAGCAGACGCACATTCATGACGTCCGCTGGCGCATCATAAACACGTCGGATAGTGAAAGTGCATTCGGATTCTCTAAAGTACCGCAGTCTCTTCTCCTAAGTCCTTTTGAATTCTCCTATCCACTATCCCTTAACCCCGTGACGTTTCACTCAGAGGTCAAGGAATAGACGATAGGGTTAGACGATAGGAGCTGATTTTTGGATTATCCGACCGCAACCCTGGTTTCTCCATTCTTACCTACCCCACCTTTAACTGTGTGTATTAAACTAAAACGGAGCATTTTCTGTCAGCTCAGATTTTATTTCTGATTCTTTAAACTGTAGTTTGTGCTCATGTGTTTCATTGTTGGTGTATGTTTGGTCGTGCAAGGCAAGGCAAGTTTATTTATATAGCACTTTCCAACACAAGGCAATTCAAAGTGCTTTACAAAAAATGAAAGAGATTAAGAAAATGGCATTTAAAATCAGTCATTAAAAAGAAAAGCTAATAAAATAAACATTAAAAGAAAAAATACATGGATAAAAGTTACAGTGCAATTAAACATTAAAAGAAAAAGTACATGGATAAAAGTTACAGTGCAGTCTAAGATATGAATAGTTCAATTAAAAGCAGCGACAAAAAGAAAAGTCTTCAGCCTGGATTTAAAAGTAGTAAGAGTTGCAGCGGACCTGCAGGTTTCTGGGAGTTTGTTTGCAGTGAAACTGTTCCTCCTCTCTCAGGTGTGGAACTTCTCAACCTGCTGCCACATTTCCATCCCACACTGGAATACTAAATACTCATTCTGACTCTGGCCTAGCCTTTTGGAAACTGAGCCAATATTGACTTACACCTGCATGCCTCATGCAGGACTTCTGCCTGAAATGAAAAAACACTGAGCAGAAAACTAATTTGATCCTAAATATCTTGGTTTCTTCTTTTCTATGGTCACATTGTTCTGTTGTCTTAGATAACACACATCTTATTTATATTTATTTTCTCTTGTATTTATTTGCATTGCATTTGATATTGAGGTATACTAAAATAAATGGAAAGTAACCAGTTGACATTACTTTTATATTGTGACTTTTATAGTATGATTAAGTTACTGATTACATTTGTACAGGTAATTTGTAATTGGAACATAATACATTTGAATAGTAACCCTCCCTGTTAGTGACACCAGTTCTCTCTCTCTTAATGTGTTCTTGCATGTGGAGTTGAAATATGATCAGTATTGTGTGTAAGACATACCAGGATGTGAACCAGCAGCAGTTCCTTGGTGTTGCCACACTTGGTGTACAGCATGTTCTCCACACAGAGGTCTGTTGGGTCGGGTTTAAAGCCACAGCAGTACCTGTCCAGCCGGTCATTTACCTGCAGCAACACACAGAGCTCAGGGGGTAGCCGGGAGAGACTGAGGAACTGCTCGGGTTGCATTGCACTGTTTGTCTCTGGAAGGAGTCAGCGGCGCTGGGATTGTTCTCAACTTGTTAGTGTGTCAGGGACAGATTGTGTCACCGTAATCTGTGCAAGATGCAGTCACAAGACTAAACAAACATCTAGATGCTAGGCTCGGAAAAACTAAATTATCTTAATGTTGTTTGTTTTGTCCACCACTTTATATGGTGGTTGGGCATTATCTTCAAGATAGATATATATATATATATATATAATATATATATACTTTATTAATCCCAAATTGGGACATCTAAGGTGACTTTGACTGATTAAACCATGATCATACTTTAAACTCATTTCAAACTATAAACTGAGACCATTTCAAACATGTTGACTGCTCTGAGCGTCCATTGATTTCCCCTCAGAAGAATCTGCCTGTTAGCAGTCTGCAGGAGTGTACATTTCAACTTCCACTCCAAGTGTCACCTTATCCAGAGTGTGCCTATCCTCCCTAGGGTGTCCTCCCCTGCTCTGGTGTTTGTGAATGATTCCTTCACGCTGCTCCTCTGCCTTTGGTGTTCAGTTTCCTGCTGTCACAGCCCAGGGAGGTGTTAACAGAGCAGATAGGAACAAGTGTTTAGAGGCACTCATCGACTCAGCAGATCAATAGGAAGCTATGAGAGCTTGGCCCTGTAACAGGGAGCGACCTCTGGCAGCGAGGGGAAGAGAGCTGCCTCATGGGTTATCATATTTAACCCTACACACACTGTAGAGGGGGTTTGGATACACATTCTGTCTTAGTGTGCAGGCAAATCTAAATAGGACAACTTGACCAGGTGGTAAAATCGGAATGACTGCAGTTCTATACAAAGGTGCAAACACAATTGGCTGTTCAGAGGACAGTATTAGTTTATTATCATATAAGACAAAGGAAAGCAGCAAATCAATTCATTAATTAAATAATAATTTGGCTTGACCTGAATGATCTGATTACAACAGACTCTCTTTTATTTGTTCATTATAAAATAAGTTTTGTTTTAATACGTGTAAGATTTGTGTCAGTGTTAAAGAGGTTGGAAGCTGATTAATTACACTTTCAGATGTATTTTCAGCATCTGGTCCCGAACAACAGGTTCAGAGCTCATCGTTTTGACACTTTCCCATTATATACTTGATATATGATTTATGAATTAAATATTTCTCTAGATAGTAAGGAAAGGAACTTCAATGCCTCTTTCAAATGTCCCTACGCATAGGATACACTTGACCACCTTATATAAAAGGAAAAGAGATAAGGCCTGTTCCACAATCAATCCCTGCTGCAACATTTAAAGTGATGCACCATTCGGATATTTACGAAAACAAACAAGACTGACAAATGCAGATCATGTTACAGTGTTTATTAAGCATTTTCAATCCTATGCTGTAACTAGGGCTGCACGATATTGAAACAAACTGACATTGCGATATATTATTTTCCCCTGCGATATATATTGCGTTTTTTTTAACTATATTTAACCGGATGAAGGATTTTAGTCACGGACGTCTGGATCTTAACCATAGACTGTATATATAAAGATCTTAACTGGTTGACTCATCATACCTTAAGTCATGATCTAACATGTCATCATGATAATGCATGTTGCTTACCCTCAAATAAGGGGGTTCATCTGTGAATGAAGAAGAGAAGAACCTTTTTGTATCCAAAATAGTTCCAGATGGCAGATGTTGCTTTTCTTTTTGGAAGTAAATCTTCATTCTCGCCGGTATTGTCCTCCTGTTCCTCGCTAATTTTTCACCGGTGTTTTGATGGTCTGCAAACTAGCGGGGCGGGGCCTGCTGTGATCTGATCAAGAATGATTGTGATTGGTGGTTTGCTGTGCATGCAGAGCCTGCATGTCACTCACTCAAGTACCCCTGACATGCATGAGAGCCCCGCAAGTTTTCCTTTTGTAGCAAGCAGCAAAAATAATTGTAATATGACGTGTTTGAGTTAATTTACCTACTTAATATCACACGTCCTAAAAAATAAAATAGAAAAAAAAAAAAAAAAAATTGTAATAAAATCGCACGTCCCTGCGATGTGAATATCGCGCATGAGCATATCGCGGTTATCGCCATGACACGATATATCGTTCAGCCCTAGCTGTAGCCTTAGGAAGTAATGATGCTTTGATCTTCGAGCAATAGAGTTTGAGTGCCACAGTGACGCATCCTAAAACCCGGAAGTAAACTCCTTCCGGTTCCTTCGCAAAAACCAATGCAATTTTCGAATCATAAATCTATCGATCATAAATCTATCGATTAGATTTATGATTCGAAAATTATAAAAATAGGGTAGACATGTGGATATTATCCGGCTGAACAAAACGTGATCCGTCTCTTCAATGTGTCTCAACCACAGACCTTATTTCCAGCTATTTTCCAAAATCCTATGGAGAAATTGCATTGGTTTTTGACGAAGGAACCGGAAGTGGTAAAATGCTAACTTACTTCCGGGTTTTAGGACGTGTCACTGTGGCGCTCTATACTCCCATAGGAGAACGCTCATTACTGTAAATAATCACATCATAATAATGTTGCCCGACATGTCGGTAAGGGCAGTTAGATCCTCTTAACACTGCGGGCGTCCTGATGAGTTCTTCTTCACATCATGATATTTCACTGTTAAGGAAAAGTGGCTGAAAAAGACATACTGTAGTTCCCAATTTTTAGGGAAATTCAACCGCAACCCTGGTTTTGTTCTATAAATACTTCCCTCTGTTTTTGGGTTGGCGCTGATAGGGACTTCATCATTAGCTGCACAGCTGTTGACAGGGGCTCAAACACAGAGTGTCATGATATACAGTCTCAAAGTTTTGTGAAAGTTTTTGCAATTTTGTAAAGTTACAGGTTTTTTAAGACACGACTGGCCGAGCTCAAGAAAGGGATCATGGTGTCTGAACTGTTTAAGGGGGCCGATGCAAACACACTGTTTTTGACATAAGATAAGAATATTGTTTGACATGAAATGAATAACCTTAGCTATGCATAGCAAATACAAATACCAATAAAATATCATCAATCAATAAATCATTACATTACATTACATTGCATTTAGCTGACGCTTTTATCCAAAGCGACTTACAATAAGTGCGTTTGACCAACAAAATACAAACTTGATGAAAACAGAATCATATACAGTAAGTACATCAGGTTTCATAGAGCCAAACATTTCAAGTGCTACTCAACTGGCTATAGATAAGCCAGTCCTTTAATAGTATATAAGTGCTCTGTTAGCAGTTCTTTGTTAGCAATTCTATCGCTCGAATTGGAGTCGAAAGAGATGAGTTTTCATTCTGCGCCGGAAGATGTGCAGGCTTTCTGCTGTCCTGATGTCAATGGGGAGCTCATTCCACCATTTTGGAGCCAGGATAGCAAACCCACATGTTTTTGCTGATGGGAACTTGGGTCCCCCTCGCAGCAAGGGTGCAGCGAGCCGTTTGGCTGATGCAGAGCGGAGTGCACGTGCTGGGGTGTACAGTTTAACCATGTCCTGGATGTAGGAAGGGCCAGATCCATTCGCAGCATGGTACGCAAGTACCATTGTCTTGAAGAGGAAAAGATGCCTGGTTTTGTTGTTGTTATTACTGTCAGGAAATGTACAACCTAACCCTGGTCCGCCCAGTAGTAGTAGTCAGATCGCTACTCCTGCTGATTTTAAAGCTAGGTCTGGGTTGGGTTTCATCCACTTGAATGTGCGCAGTCTGTTAGGTAAACTAGATTTTGTCCGTATCTGGGCGAGCTCGACTGACGCTGACGTTATTGTTGTATCAGAAACATGGCTAAACAAATCTATTTTGGCCTCTGACATTGCCTTAAATGGTTTTAATATGTATCGTACCGACCGGCCTAATAAAGGTGGTGGCGTTGCCATTTATGTTGAGAATAAGTTCAGTGTAACCACATTAGTTTCCAAATCGATCAGTAAGCAATTTGAATTTTTAGCCATAAATATAGAAGTTGCAAAGGGTCAACAGGTCATGGTAGTGAGTTGTTACAGACCCCCCTCAGCTGTCAAAGACTCCTTGTCTTCGCTAGCAAATCTTTTATCACAACTAGACTACAAGGAAATAGTGCTACTTGGAGATTTTAACTGGGACTGGTTAACTGCAGTGTCAGAGGATTTAAAAAACCTTTGTATCTCTTTAAATGTTACTCAGATTGTTGACAGTCCTACTCGCCCTAACATTAAGTCCCCTAATAAATCCTCCCTAATTGATCTCATTTTAACTAATGTGCCCTATAAATATTCATCTGTGGGAGTATTTGCAAATGATCTGAGTGATCACTGTGTTGTAGCCACAATTAGGGACACTAAGGTCTAAAAGGTTAAACCTCGCATTATCATTAAGAGAGACAAAAAACATTTTGTGGAGCAGGGTTTTGTGCATGATCTGTTTGATTTTGATTGGGGTAAAATCGATCTGTGTTCTGATGTAGAAACCGCATGGTCTTATTTTGATCTTGGTTTTATGGAGATCATTGATAGACATGCACCCCTGCGTACATTTAGAGTAAAGGGATGAGACAACCCTTGGTTTTCTGCTGAACTGTCTAGTCTCCTACATGAGAGAAACAAGGCCTGGGCAAAGGCTAGGAAATCAGGCTCAGAGGTATAATGGCTGCATTTTAGGCAGCTAAGAAATAGCTTCACTTCTCAAATCAAAAGTGCTAAATCAAAGTACTATCTGTCAGTAACCACAAAGAATCTGAATAATCCTGGAAAATTTTGGAAATCCATTAAATCGTTATCCAACGGCGATATCCGTAATGAGCTACCTCCGTGCATTACCACAGCATCTGGCACTATATCGGACAGGGCCACCATACTAAATTGTTTTAATGAGCATTTTGTGTCCTGTGGTTCTCTATTTGATTCTGTCACTAACTCTGCTTCTGTGAACACTACAGTATGTGACTCTGAAAAACGTGTG